TGGCTGGGCTGAGGCACTGCTGTATAAAGAGGAATAAACTCCTATGATTAGCAAAACAAAAAAATGAAAAGTGAGATATTGTATTGTTGTGGTAGATTATTTAATGAAATAAGCTCAGGAGCCTCAGGATCCAGGTCAGTGTTCATTTATTGAGCCAACATTGAGAGAGGCTACCCCAGAAAAGATTCCGAGGTTGCACTCTATCTCAGCAAGGATTCATCAGATACTTATACATTGTAAATCATGTGTATAGTTACTTGAATTCCAGATAGGTCTGTTTTGATCAAACACTTTGTCTTTCACACATTCCAAAAAATGGCAAGGTTCCTGTTATTCTCAACACTCCCTATCTCCCCACGTGCCATCCTACCTGCTCTCCAAAGCCTGTGCTTTGTTCCATCCCTGACTAAACTCCATTGCTTTATCTTTCTCAGTGTGGTAAGGGTCACATTCCATTCCAAATGAAGCCTCAGGGTTAATGCATTTTTGCAGAAATTCTGTCTGTTTGTGCAGTTTAATTTTTTTTTCTTCTAACCTGACTACTTTAAGAATAAATAGAAAATGACTCTTAAAGGATTTATATAATTATTGTGTATGGAATTAACTGAAACTCTCTACCTCATTCTCATCCTAGCTGGAAATTCACGTGGATTTACAGATTAACTCACATCATACTCAAATTCCCCCGTAACAGTATCATCTGGGAACAGATGCTGTCAGGGAAGAGCACTATTGAAATGTGGATATTGCTTAAGGAATACATACTGCGTGTGCTCGATATGTTTGTCCCTAGCAGGCAGGGAAGATGCGGTCGAGTGAGAGAGCCTTGGTTCTCAAGAGAGGGCGAACGACTGGTTAAGAGGAAGAATGGTGCTTGTGTAAGGTTTAGGAAACAAGGAACGGAAAAGGCTCTAGAAGGATACAAGTTATCCAGGAAGGAGCTGAAGAAAGAGCTTAGAAGAGCTATAAGGGGGCTTGAGAAAATCCTGGCAGATAGGATCAAGGAAAACTCCAAGGCTTTTTTACCTGTACGTGAGGAATAAGAGAATGACCAGAGAAAGGTAGGGCTGATCAAGGATTGTAAAAAGAATTTGTGCATGGAGGCTAAAGAGATAGGAGAGGTCCTTAATGAATACTTTTCTTCAGTATTCACAACTGAGAGGGACATAGTTGTAGAGGAGGACAGTGTGAAACAAGCTGGTAGGCTAGAGGAGGTCGATGTTAGTAAGGAAGATGTGCTAGGAATTTTGAGGAAGTTGAAGATAGGTAAGTCCCCTAGGCCTGATGGGATTTATCCAAGGATTGTTTGGGAAGAGAGGGAAGAGATCGCAGCGCCTTTGGCGATGATCTTTTCGTCCTCACTGTCCACGGGTATAGTGCCGGAAGATTGGAGAGAGGCAAACGTCATTCCCTTGTTCAAAAAAGGGAATAGGGATAACCCTGGAAATTATAGGCCAGTTAGTCTTACGTCAGTGGTGGGCAAATTATTGGAAAGGGCTCTAAGAGATAGGATTTATGATCACTTGGAAAGGCACAGTTTGATTCGTGATAGTCAGCATGGATTTGTGAGGGGTAGATCATGCCTCACAAACCTTATTGAATTCGTGGATTTAAGTAAGGCGTTTGATAAGGTTCCCCATGGTAGGCTCATGCAGAAGGTAAGGAGGCATGGGATAGGGGGAGATGTGGCAGATTTGATTCAGAATTGGCTGACCCTTAGAAGACAAAGGGTGGTAGTGGACCGAAAATATTCAACATGGTGCTCAGTTACGAGTGGTGCACCACAAGGATCTGTCCTGGGTCCTCTTCTATTTGTGATTTTTGTAAATGATTTGGATGATGGAGTGGAAGGGCGGATTAGCAAGTTTGCGGACGATACGAAGGTGGGTCGCATTGTGGACAGTGCGGAGGGCTGTTCTAGGTTACAAAGGGACATTGATAGGATGCAGAGCTGGGCTGAGAAGTGGCAGATGGAGTTTATCTCTGAAAAGTGTGAGGCAATTCATTTTGGAAGGAAAAACTTGAAAGCAGTATACAGGGTTAATGGAAAGATTCTTGGCAGTGTGGAGGAGCAGAGGGATCTTGGGGTTCATGTTCACAGTTCCCTGAACGCAGACACCCAGGATGATAGAGTTGCTAAGAAGGCGTATGGTGTGTTAACTTTCATTAATAGAGGGATCGAGTTCAAGAGCCATGAAGTTCTGCTCCAGCTGTACAAAAGCCTGGTTCGGCCACATCTGGAGTATTGTGTCCAGTTCTGGTTGCCTCATTACAGGAAAGATGTGGAGGCATTGGAAAAGGTGCAGAGGAGATTTACCAGGATGTTGCCTGGAATGGATGGAAGGTCTTATGAGGAAAGGTTGAGAGAGCTAGGGCTTTTCTCTTTAGAACAACGGAGGATGAGAGGTGACTTGATAGAGGTGTACAAAATGATCGGAGATATATATAAAGTGGACAGCCAGAGACTTTTTTCCTAGGGTGGAGGTAACTATTATGAGGGGGCATAGTTTTAAAGTGAGTGGAGGTAGATACAGGGGAGACTCCAGAGGTAGGTTCTTTACTCAGAGAGTGGTAGGGGCGTGGAATGCATTGCCGGAGAGGGTAGTGGAGTCAGCCTCATTAGGGGCATTTAAGGGGCTATTAGATAGGCATATAGATGATAGTATAAGGTAGGGGTGGAGGTTAGATAGACCTTAGGATTAGGGTAAAAGTTCGGCACAACACCGTGGGCCGAAGGGCCTGTACTGTGCTGTACTGTTCTATGTTCTATCTATATTTAGCTAAACTGCTGCCATTCACGCCTTCATGAAAAGTTATAGCACAGAAAGAGTTCAGTCGGCCTATGGAATTCTATTCATTGGAATTGCCTAAGTCTAATTTATTCATCAGCTTGCTCCAATATAAATGCAGATTTTTCTTTTACATGACTTTCCATATTCTTCTTTTTCAAGAAACCATCTTACTTCCAGTTAGTGAAACACATGTGATGGATTTTACAAAGAAAATTACTCTGGACTCAATTTTAGTTCTTTTTGTGATTATTTTAAATTTGTGCTTTCTCAACGATGACCATGAATCCATTGTCGATTGTCAGGGAAAACCCATCTGGTTCACTAATGTCCTTTAGGGAAGGAAACTGCCATCCTTACCTGGTCTGGCCTACATGTGACTCCAGATCCACAGCAATGTGGTTAACTCTTAACTGCCCTCTGGGCAATTAGGGGTGGGCAATAAATGCTGCCTAGTCAGCGATGCCCTCATCCCATGAATGAATAAAAAAAAATGGTCTCGCTGTTTAGTAAAGAGAATTTAGCACAACTTACCTCTAATTTTCATGATTTTAACTGTGATTATACAGCTACCTAAAATTGAGCCAGGACCCCAAGTGAAGTCACGAGCTACAGTTTTGGGACCATGCACTCAGAGGCAGCAATACCCACTATACAGTTCTTTCCCTCACTTAGACAAGTCTTCTGTGCCACACCCAATGCTCTTATACGTCTTCTCACCCCAACCCACTTTGAGTTCTCAGAGAGATGTCACTCAATCACGTAAACTCAGAGACCTCTCTCCAACCACTCCAGTGCTCTGGAACCTGCACACTGGTCATCGCTGCTTACTTTAAGTCTCACTGCCTGCTGATCAAAAAATCGCAGGCTGTTTTCTCCATGCATTTCCTGTTGGTAGACTCACTGGTCAGCAAATGCAGGTGAGAAACAGATTGATTGGACAACGAACTCTGCAGTATTTTTAAAAAGTTCACTAACCTATTGTTCTGCATATCTAAGACAAGAGTCAGAGAGCCGCAGATGCATCTGTCACAGGCCACAATCTGTCTACTGACCACCTTTCAGGCAAGCCTTTTTAAAATGACCAGAAATCCCTCCCCAACCACAGTTATTCTTCACTCTATCCCTTAAGTAGACATTTCATTTACCCAGATGCAGTCAAGATTAATATCTGCTCCCAATGGCCTGGTCCCTTCTCTTTTTCTCAGCCAAATAATTTCTAATCCCAGAACTGCCTTTCACTACATAGGTTACACTGCAGTTTGCTTCCTTTGAGCTTGAGCTAGGAAAATTTTCCAATCCTCTTTAAACTCTCATGAATTCAGTCTCTTCAGTTTAAGCCATGAGCTCCAACTGCATTCTATAATAAGTTCAGCATTTTCTCTGCTACGGGCGCAGGCTTAGCTTCCTGTATATGCCCCTAAGGACTAAGAGCCCTGCTTACAGAATTAAACAGTCTGGTCAACAAAAGATACATAGTATAAAACTAAAGGAAAGAGCAGATAAAAGTACAAAGAATAATGGTGAATTAAGTAACTGGGAGAGGTAAAAAGAGAAGCAAAGGAAAATGAAAAAAAAATGAGTTGCAAGAAGACAATATGAATAGAAAATTGTAAAGAGCAGCAAAAGAAACACAAAATGTTTCAGAATTATATTTAAAGAAAAGGATAGTCAAAAGTTATGTAGGCCCTTTGAAGGCAGAAGTGGGTAATAACAATAACTTGTATTTATTTAACCCATTTAACAATTATCATTCCATTCTAAATAAAAACAAGGTGGCATACTTTACGAACTATTTTGTTTCAGTCTTCACAGGAGAGCAAGAAAATAATCTAGCTGACACCCAGGATATTAATAATGAAACAATGACTTTGATGCTTCTCTGGTCTGTGTTAAAGGATCTCCAAGCAGATATGAAAAGTATACGCAAAGACTAGAATGTTTTAGTGGAGGAACTCCTCATTGTTTGCCACAAAGCTTACATCTCTGCTCTAAACACTTAATATTAGTATTGGCTGGCTCTTTTTATACATATCTGAGTATAGTTAATCAGTTCCCAATGCCTTATCGCCTTCAGCTACCAGATATTTATCATCTATCAACAGCACCACTAGGTAATAAGTCCATTGGGGCAGAAGTCTGCTTTAAGGACAAAGACAACACTAGATTTGATTTCTTCGCCTTGGTTATTCCTTAACATGTCACCCACAGATATCCAGGATACATTTCAATCCTCCAACGCGCCATTGAGCTATGGTACCATGAGCCGTCTTGTACAACACCTATCCTAAAATTAATGGCTGAGCTTGTTCACAACAGGTGAGCCACTGCATTTGAAAGTATTTACCTTTGACTGTAAATAAAAGTTTTTAAAAAGCTGCATGTACCTGAGAGTGGGTTTGAAGATAAGCCAGAAAAGCCTGAGCACCATTGAGTTAAATAGAATTTTATTTTTTAGGTTAGTTTTATTGTCATGTGTACTCAAGTACAGGAGTACAGTGAAAAGTGCACACAGTCACCATTTCTGGCACCACCTTGGATACAAAAGTACCTCGGTCGATAATCTTAAGTATGAAATAGAAAAAGAAAGAAATAAGTTAAACATTCAACATTACAGTTCTTCTTACTATGAAGTAGAAAAATAAAAAAATATAGTTAAATATTTGACAAAACTGTCTTTCTATAGCCATGGGCTTGCAGGTGCTCCACACTGGGCTTCCCCCATCAGGGCTCACTGTCTGCTGCACTGAGCCTGCACTCCCCATGAGGGCATACTCTTCACCACTCTGGACTGAGTTCCTTACTGCCAACTGCTATCCAGGCTCGCCAGTCACTTTGCCACCATGAGACGTAGAATCTGTGTACAGTACATCCAAATCTAAGCCACACAGACTTGAAATTTAAAGCTAAGCATGTTGTTACTCTCCTAAATACTGCTGGGATGGTTCAAATGAGGGGGGAGGTGATGGCCTAGTGGTGTTATCAATGGACTGTTAATCCAGAGACCTAGATAACATTCTGGGGACCCGGGTTCGAATCCTGCCACGGCAGATGGTGAAATTTGAATTCAATAAATTTCTGGAATTCAGAGTCCAATGATGACCATGAATCCATTGTCGATTGTTTTTAAAAAAAACCCCATCTGGTTCACTAAAGCCCTTTAGGGGTGGAAACTGCCATCCTTACCTGGTCTGGCCTACATGTGACTCCAGATCCACAGCAATGTACTTGACCCTTAACTGCCCTCTTGGCAATTAGCGATGGGCAATAAATGCTGCCTAGGCAGCAATGCCCTTATCCTGTGAATGAATAGAGAAAAGAAAAATGAGAATGAGCACCTTTGTGTGTGTTCTATGTCAGAAGCAGCAAGCACTGGGTGCTTGAAAAACTGAAGAACAATGTTTTTGCACCCCCCAAACCTTTTTTGAAATGGTCAAAAATAGTGAAAGCAACACCTATGTATAGTTTCAGTCCCATGTGTCTAAACAGCATCTTCAGATTGCGAAATATTAAGAACACTCTAAATCCTCTTGAAATGGATTAATTATGAAATTTTGCACCTGAGCCCTGATAAACTAAGAACAGTGACATTTCCCACACTGGACCCTTTTGGAATGTTTTATGTATGTTTTAAGTTAGGTCTGGTGTGTTAGTATATTCTGCTTGGCTAAGCAGTACAAACTAGAGATCTGAAAATTCTAAGAATAACATTTTCTGAAACCATTTTTAGAAGTTGAAATGAGATTCAACATTAATTTAAGCAGCACAAAGTTCAAACCCAAAAAACTAAATTCAATATTTAGCACTTTCAGGAAGCCTGTCCAATGCAGTATATTCACATTGAGCAAAGCTTGGATCCATGGAAAGCTAACAGATTGCAAAGTTTCAAGAATGCATCACCATCTATCAGGTGTCAAGTTCCACTTGAAGAGAGGTCAGCAGCAATAGAGCAATGGAGAGCAAAACTAGGGGTGAACATGGTGAGGAGTGGTGTCAGTCAGAGTGAATGTGGAGCTGAATCTAGGAGCGGAACTTCAGAGGTGACATCACAACTCAAGGAGTGCCATAGGTTTGACTGCTGAGGAACCAGGTTTGACGTATGAGTAAGCAGCATCAGGAGATAGATAAAAGTACTTAGTTTTTATATTCATAGTGTGCTGGGCATAGAGTACAGGACTGAAAGACCTGAGTTTGGTGACAAATGGATTAGGTTGTGTTATCAGGTCCTGGATTATTGTCTGTCATTGATAAGGTTGATTTTGTTGGTAAAGTTCACAATGGCAGCATAACTCAGCTCCATGGAATGCTTCTTCTGTAATACAGTGGAAATCAGGGTTAATTCCAGTGTCCATGGTGACTACATATGCAGGAAATATGTCCAGCTGCAGCTCCTGATTTGCAGAGAACCTGGAGCTGTGGATGGACTCACTATGGAATATCCATGAGGCTGAGAATGTCATGGATAGCTCATTTAGTGAGCTTGTCACAGCACCAATGAGGGTTACACAGACAGAGAAGAGTTGGGTGACCACCAGGAAGATGAGGAAGCGTGTGCTTACACTGCAGGAGTCCATTCTCCTCTCAAATAGATATTCTGTTTTAGATACTGTTGTGGGAATGGCTTCCCAGGGGAAAGCAGCAGCAGTAGCCAGATCAGTGGCACCATGACTGGCTCTGTTTAACAGCAGGGAAGGTTGGAGTGTAGACGAGCAAGAATGATAGGGGACTCTGTATTCGGGGGCCCAATGGTCACTTCTCTGGTGGCAAGTGAGACTCCAGGATTGTGTGTTGCCTCCCTGGTGCCAGGGTTAAGGATGCCTCTTAGCAGGCACACAATATTCTGAAAGGGGAGTGTGAGCAGCTTGGGGTCATGGTCTATATTCCTACCAACAATATAGGCATCAAGAGAGCTGAGGTCCTGCAAAGAGGGTTTGGGGACTTTGGTAGGAAGTTGAAAAGCTGGACCTCCAGAGTTGTAATCTCAGGATTACTTCCTGTTCCACAGGAGGCTAGGAATAGGAACATAATACAGTTAAATATGTGGCTAAAGAGCTGGTGTAGGAAGGAGGTCTTCATCTTTGTGGATTGTTGGGATGTCTTCCAGGGTAGGTGGCACCTGTACAAGAAGGATGGATTGCACCTAAACTGGAGAGGGACCAATATCCTCGAAGGGAGGTTTGCTAGTGCCACTCGGGGTGGGCAGGGGATGTCTAAGCTAGTGTGGTGGGAAGAGGCAGGAACCAGAGCAGTAGCAAGTAAAATGACCGAGGAGGAGTGTGAAACAAGGGCAGTAAGACTAAGAGGAAGAAAAGACAGGAGGAGATTACTGAACACAGCAGGACTGGCAGTCTGAAGTATATGTGTTTTAATGCGAGGAGTATGACAGGTAAAGCAGATTAACTTAGAGTCATTAAGTCATACAGCACAGAAACAGACCCTTTGGACCAATCAGTCTATGCCAACCATAATCCAAAATTAAACTAGTCCCACCTGCCTGCTCTTTGCCCATATCCCTCCAAAATTTTCTTATTCATGTACCTATCCAAATGTCTTTTAAACACTGTAACTGTACCTGCGTCCACCACTTCCTCTGGAAGTTCATTCCACACTTCAACCATTCTCAGTGTAAAACAAAATGCTCCTCATGTCTTTTTTAAATCTTTCCCCTCTCAATTTAAAAATATGCCTCCTAGTGTTGAAATCCCTCTCCCTAGGGAGAAGATACCTGCCACTCACCTTACCTATACCCCTCATGATTTTATAAACCTCTATAAGGTCACCTCTCAACCTCCTACAGTCTACGAAAAATGCCCCAGCCTATCCATCCTGTCCTTATAACTCAAACCCTCCATCCCCAGCAACATCCTGGTACATCTCTTCTGAACCTTCTCCAGCTTAATAATATTCCTATAACAGGGTGATCAGAACTGGACACAGTACTCGAGAAGAAGCCTCACCAATGTCCTGTACGACCTCAACATAAATCCCAACTTCTATACTCAAAGGTCTGAGCCATGAAGCCAAACATACTAAACGCCTTCTTAACCAACCCATCTATATGCGATGCAAGCTTCAAAGAATTAAGTACCTGAACCCCTAGGTCTCTCTGTTCTACAACACTACCCAAGGCGCTGTTTTTAATTGTATAAATCCTGCCCTTGTTTGTTTACCAAAATACAATACCTTGCATTTATCCAAATTAAACTCCATCTGCCACTCTTCACCCCATTGACCCAACTGATTGAGATCTCTTTTTAGTTTTAGATAACCTTCTTCACTGTCCACTATACCACCAATTTTGGTTTTGTTGCCTGGTTACCGCCCTCGACAACAATTATTGGCTCGGTTCAAAGAGAAAGAGAGTCAAATCTGTATCAACTGACAATTAAAATTATTGGTTCAATTAAAACAGACATACACTTCATTTCATTTAGTTAAGATTGGATTAAAAGCTGACATGAATTCATACAAGACTAAAATCTACAAGCATACCCCCATATTTCTCTGACTTTCCTTGAACAGTCACAGAATGTAATACCCGAGAATAACAGTTCACACCAGCCAGCCAATTCCTTGGATCCTCAACATAGTCTTCACGCATCTATCGTAGGGTCTTCCACTTCCGAGATAGTTGGTCTCCGGAGTTTTCGCTGGCTTCACGCTTGAAATTCTCCATTTTTTTCCTTTTCCCTTATCTTCCCGAACTGTGGTATCTTAGAACATAGAACATAGAACAGTATAGCACAGTACAGGGCCTTCGGCCCACGATGTTGTGCCAAACTTTTACCCTAATCCTAAGGTCTATCTAACCTCCACCCCTACCGTATACTATCATCCATATGCCTATCTAATAGCCCCTTAAATGCCCCTAATGAGGCCGACTCCATTACCCTCTCCGGCAATGCATTCCACGCCCCTACCACTCTCTGAGTAAAGAACCTACCTCTGACGTCTCCCCTGTATCTACCTCCACTCACTTTAAAACTATGCCCCCTCGTAATAGCTACCTCCACCCTAGGAAAAAGTCTCTGGCTGTCCACTCTATCTATACCTCTGATCATTTTATACACCTCTATCAAGTCACCTCTCATCCTCCGTCGTTCTAAAGAGAAAAGCCCTAGCTCTCTCAACCTTTCCTCGTAAGACCGTCCCTCCATTCCAGGCAACATCCTGGTAAATCACCTTTTCCAACGCCTCCACATCTTTCCTGTAATGAAAAATTATTGTTTGATCTCATTGGCTCTGGCCTGTCTGCCAGCTGTGTCCTTTCGTTACAGGCTCTGGCCCAAGTGCATCGGTAGCGTTACCTCATTGCTCTT